TTTTTTTTTTTTTTTTTTTTTCTGCATACAGAAAACTACGCAGTCTACAGCAAACTGGCGTGTAGCTGGGGAGCGAAGGATGCTGGTTTCTCTTTCTTTGTTTCTTTTTGTGTGTTTTAGTTTGTTTATTTGTTTAACAAATATTTAGGTGTATTATATTATTTAGAGAAACTACTGTTTCTGCCTCTCTGCCTGTGTCTGCCTCTAGGTCTCTATCCCTGCCACCATCTCAGATTCTGTTTCTTTTTGTCTCTATCTCTATTTCCGTTTCTATTTCTGTTTCTCTTTTGTTATTTCTGTCTTTGTTTGTTTCCAGGCTGCGTATTTGTAGTTTAGTGGCGGTGTCTAGACAGGTATTTTGTTTCTCCCCTCCACCGTTGCTTGATTCATCTTTTTTCCTGTTTCTGTATGCTTCTATCTGCTGCTGTTGCTCTTCTCTGCGTCGATCTTTGTCGGTTGGTTCGTTAGTCTTTAATTATTTTTGTTGTTTCTTTTTTCATATAGGTGATAGTGTATTGTTTACTGGTTTAAGGCGTATTTCTGCTTCCTTTATTGCCCGGGTGTATCCGCTGATTGCTGCTTCGAACTGCCCCTCTTTGAACGCTTCATTTGCTTCTTCTTTCATCAGCCTCAGCTCCTCCAGGGGCCCGAAGTCCCCCCCACCCCCTACTAGCGGCGAAACGCCCACAATAGATACTTTTGATGGCTTGCGGCTCGACGGACCCCCACGGGCTACTGCGTGCTGCAGTGCAGGCAAACAAAAAACACAGAAAACAGACACAAAATATTCAATAATTTTATGCACTAGAAAAAGAAAACAATCGTAGACTATAAAGCTGGAGACTGAACAAATAAAATAATGAAATAATAAACTTCCTCCACACAAATTATACAAAATAAGCCCGCTGGCTTCAAACAAATAATGATACTTTTATTTTAAACAAATGACAGTGAAAATAGCACTAATAACAATAATAATAATAATAATAATAACAACAATAATAATTTTTTTCTTCTCTTTCTTCCTTATACAGCCCCGACTTGGGGTGTATCTGCAGCTTTAGCTGAAGCGATAAATAAACTCTAGCTGCGTACAGGAGTTCTCTTTGGCTTCGTTGCTCTTGGCTTTTGCTTTCTCTGTTTCTCTCCTTCTTGATCTGTTTCTGCGTCGGGGTCAAAGGCATCCCAGGCCTTGTAGTAGTCCGCAATCGAATTCAAATCGCGCGCAAACTTCCGTCTGCTTGTTGCTGCAGACGGTGCCGATACATCCGAAGATGCATGCTCCTCTTGCTGCTGCTGCTGCTGCTGCTGCTGTTGCTGCCCTTCGCGGTCTTGCTGCTGCAGAGGAGGCTGCTGGGGCTTGCTGCTCTCTGCTGCTTCCGGTGCTGACCCCAGCAGTTCTTCCCTTTTTTCTGTTTCTTTACATGTCGTCTCCGCCTCAGCAAAGCTCTCTTCCCATTCGAGCAAATCCGACAAATACGCGCGCAACTCCTCCGCGTTGCGGCGAATCTGCATTTGTACAGGGAGTGACATTTGCTGGTGGTGGTGGTGGTGGTGGTGGTGCTACTGCTACTGCTGCTAGCGCTGTTGCTGCTACAGAAGCGGGGGCTATTCTAGTTAACCTGTACACGTGTCTTGGGCTGTGTGAGCTAGAGAAACGTATGAATTTCAGTTGTTACTGAAGCAGAGCAGAAACCGCTGCACCGACAACGCGCTTNGGGGAGGGGGTGAGGCGACTGAGCTCAGCTAGCAGATGCAGTAGCCCATCAGTCTCTATCAACAGAGCTATTTTTTGTACACTCGCGGGTTGTTTTCAAAGATAGCTCAGCTTCTGAGCGGTGCATGCACGTGGTTGTGTTTATGCTGTATAAAGTCTGTATGTCTACTGATGGTAAGAGGGGTGGGGAGTTCACTAGAGCTGGTGAGTTTCTTGTCTCATTAGACTCAATGCTGCGTATGTTTTCAACGCTTTAATATAAGGCGACTGTTTGTCTATCGGCCGTACACAGAAAACTGTCGTCTGTCTGCCCGTCGTTTGCTGCGTTGAGGTGGTGGAGCCCTGCTCCGCTTAACTCAAATAAATCAAATGTAAGTACTACAAAAGAAATAAAAAACAACAATTCGTGCAAACTGACACAGCGGGCACAACAAGCAGTAAACAACACCGAGGGACACCACTTAAGCACTTGCACAGCCCACGCGCGCCTGTTTAGAAAGCTGCAACAAAAACACGACACATCACGAAAACAAACAAACATAAAGAAACTCAAGAGTATTTCAGATACAATTCAATCTATAAGAAACATATTTATGGGGCTTTTAGCCGCGGATCGCTCAGAAAAGGGCCCCCAGCTTCCCGACTCGACTGCGGTGTATGTCCACATTCGTTTGCAGGAAAAAAGAGCATCTGCGCGGAATATGCTACAAATTTGTATTTTTTTGACGAATTTTGTTGTTATTTTTGTGGAATCCTGAACACTACCATATATTTGCCCTCTGGCGCCATCGGCGCGGACGATTGGTTGGTATTTCCTCTTTTCNCCTGAACACTACCATATATTTGCCCTCTGGCGCCATCGGCGCGGACGATTGGTTGGTATTTCCTCTTTTCTCTCTCTGGATGAGCGCGAGTGTGCCCCTGAAAAGCAGAAATACTTTGAACCTCACGAAATACGAATAAACCACTGGTACTACTCCAGCGGATCCGCTTTACTCCCCTCCTGGGAGGAGCAGTTTGCGCCGTTGTGCTTCGAACAGCAGCAGCTGCGTGTTGGATCGTTTTCGTTTCTATCGGTAAACAGGAGGAATTGATACAGATAAGAGGCAGAGCGGAGGTGAAGCCCTTTCAGTTGATTCCCTCAAGCCGCCAGGCTTCGCCATCTCTAGACAACTCTCCCCTGAGTTGTCTGTACACCGCGGATCAAGATGGAGCCCCACGAGAGAGCGCGAAACATTGAGCAGCGCGGCTCCCCTGCAGCTCCCTCTGAAGATCTGAGGCCTTCAGGGGCTCCGCCAGTTGCAGCAGCTGCAGCAGGAGCAGCAGCAGCTCCCCGCCCTTCTGGGGTTTCTCCTTTTGTTCCGGATGCCTTTTGCTGCGTTCACCCCTTGGTCTTAGAACAGCGGCAGCAGCAGGGCAGCGGCGACTGGCGGCTGCGGGNTTTTGCTGCGTTCACCCCTTGGTCTTAGAACAGCGGCAGCAGCAGGGCAGCGGCGACTGGCGGCTGCGGGCTACCAGCAAGGCTGTGCACTCAGAGGCGGATCTACGTCGCTGGCTTTCTTCACAAACGCACGCACAGTTCCTCGCCTTCGTGGGGCGCCTGGCGCGGCATGCAGCGGGCAAGAAGACCCTCCCCAGCTTGTTAAGCATAGACAGAATCAGAAGCGGCCAGGGGGGGGCAGCAACAGAAGCAGGAGGATGCGCAGCAGCAACAGCAAGTGCTGCTGTTTCTGCTGCAGCTGGAGATGCTGATCAGGCCTCTGCACAGTCTGGCGCGCGCTCGCGGCTAGCTGCGTTTCTTCCCTTTCATCAGCTGCCAGCGAACAAGGCCTGCTGGGCGCTGCTTGCTGTGCTGCAGCAGCTGCTGCAGTGGGTAGAGGAAATTCCCCCAGTTGAACAGCCAACGCGGTTCGGCAACCAGGCCTTCAAGACCTGGTGCAACCGCCTGGAGGAGGTGAGGCGACCTGTACATACACCCCACGCTCCTCTCTTCTTCTTCCTTTGCANTGCAACCGCCTGGAGGAGGTGAGGCGACCTGTACATACACCCCACGCTCCTCTCTTCTTCTTCCTTTGCAGATTAAAACATATTCGAAATATTTTTATTATTTTTATTATATATCGCTAGCTAAGGCAACACTAATACTCATACAATTATAGAATACTCCTTCGACAACCTTAAACCCTCGAAATCTAAACCCTAAACCCTGAAACCCTAAAACCATAAACCCTAAAACCCTAAAACCTCGACAGGGGTAGCTGAGCGCAGACGCTGTATATGAACCCGTAGGGATATTTGCATGCAGTTTGTTTGTGTGGAGGTCGCTGGCGGCATGCGTTTCACTCGGTGACACTTGTTGGCCTCTTCAGCTGCATCTAGCTGTTAGTTTGCGTGAGAGCTTTCTTTAAGGGTTTAGGGTTTATGGTTTAGGGTTTAGGGTTAGTGATGGAAATGGCACGATAACAATAACTCGACACCATCAACACTAGCAGAGGAGATGAGAGACAGTTGCTTTGGTTTGTTGCACTCAATCTATATGAAGAAGGTAGAAAAGTGTTTATGCGGTTGTGTCTGTTTGTGGGGGTATCACCAACTGATGTGCTGAGGTGTATGTACAGCATCTGCTGCTGTTCTCGATATATGGGGTGTGAAGAACATAATTGAGTTGAATTTGTGTGTGCAGAGGGCAGAGGATTTGTTGTCGGGTGTATGGACAGCCTGCGACGACGTGGAGATCACCGAAACTGAAAAAAAAGAAATGGCGGACATTTTTTGTTCTTCTTTTGGAAACCCAGTCCGCCTGGATTTCGGAACGGGCCACGAATGCTCATTTGCAATTTTCTTGTTTTGTTTATTTAAAAAAAATATACTGAAGGAAGATGAACACGATCCCTTCGCGGTCTTGGGCATATTTAAAGGGTCCGTCATCCTCTTCTTTTTCTTTATTTCTCCTTCATTTTGTTGTTTTTCTTTTGTTGTTTTTTTGTTGTGTTTGCTTACCTCAACCTTTTCTTCTTATCTGGCTATCTCTGCTGCTGTGCGCCTCCGTGGTCAGGTCAGCGGGCCTCTTTAGCAGTGACGGTGTAGTGTGGGTAGGAGTGCAGTACTAAGCGAAGATGGAAGTATTAATATATAAGGATATAAATAAACAACTGAACACTTAATCATTATCCTTGCCCGGTTTCGCACTCCTCGTTGCTTGCGTTGATTCTCCTTTTCTATCTGCACGCAGCGCCTTCCAGCAGCAGCAGCAGAGCTCAGCAGCAGAAGCAGCACCCAGCAGCAGCAGCAGCACCCAAAGGGATGAGCCCCTGCGTGTATTTGCTGCTGCGTTGGTTCAGTTATGTTCAGGTTGCACACGCCTTGCAGCAGCGCTACATGCTCGAGGCTGCAGGCAGCCGGGGTGTATGGGGTC